GTGTCAGAACGGGTTTCTCAAAATCTATTGGAATAATGCACTTTTGTTTTATGCCAACACTTTGTGTGATAAGAACTTATGTGAAAAAGTGTGGCAACAACACTTCATGTTGATTGGGTGATAGCTACACGGTTAAATAACCGTCAAATAACCGACTTAAACCGCCAGCTGCTAGAGGCACAGTGTATTTTTCTGCAAAATCCCTGCGGCCGAAATGAAAACTTTAACGTCAAAATGTTGCACTTCTTTGTATACATGCGTAGACTTAAAACCCCCCTCATCCGCCGTCATTTTTTAGCGATTTGTTTTAATCGATCCCCTTTGAAAATTATTGGCGCACATTCGGCTTTGAACTTCGTCTGCTATGGCTTCGGAAGTGGCTTTCGGTGAGAAATTTGTGGGTGTATCGTTTTCATCGAAGCACCATCACTATTTTGCGTTACGAATGTGTGTACTACAAATGCAGCAGGCGCCCTCCAAGACAAACGGAAAGCCGTGGAATCCGAAGAAGCTAGTAAGCCGAGCGTAATTTCTAATAAAAAAGTACGCGAAGCACCAGCTGCCCAGTGCGGTTTTGTCTACGGAGGCAAAGGAACCAACTGGCAGTGACGTCTTATTTTCTGGAACACAACCACAAACTGTCAAAGTTTCTTTACGATCGGCTTCCAGTCAATCGACGCTTAACCGAAGACGAGTTGGGCACATGCCAGGCCCTGCTGAGATATGGAACGCCGTCATCTGAGGTGCGGCAGTTTGTGGCGGATGAATTCGGAAAGATTCTTACAACTAAGGATATACACAACTACCGCCGGAAGTGTCGACCGGCTATGTTGAGTAGGTGCCTAATGGTTGGGTTTTAATGTAGCAGATGATATGCCTTCGGTCCTGGCAAAACTTCGGGAGACCGGACGCGTTCTTGTGTGTCAGGGAGAGGAAGGTCACTATAGCCACATATGTTTCTCCCGATGGCAGCAGGTAGCGTTATTCCGACGCTTTCCAGATATAGTAAAGGTAGACGGAACGCATGCAACAAACCGCCTTGGGTAAGTTTTTAAAGCATCTAATATTTGGCATTTAGATATAAAATCTGCACATTCTTGATAACGGACGGAATGGAACCGGGCGTCCGGTTATGTATGCGTTCGTAGAGGGCGAGCAGTTTGCTCCCATGTGCGGCTTATTCAAAGAAATGATGGACGAGGCGCATCCGGTCAGGGCCTTCGTAATGGACAAGTTGGCGGCGCAAATGCGTGCGTCAAGAGTCGTGTTCGGCTGTGACATTATGCCTTTCTACTTTCTTGTC